TTATCCCGCCCTCCCGCCGAGGCGGCTCAGGGCGGCGTACAACAATAAAACAATAAAACAGTTTATACAAACATTAAAATTACAATTTACATTCAGTACTGTTTAAGGCAATCACAAAAGCATCAAACTTAAATCTAGCTTCTTAAAGGTGGAATTCAGAGTTCTTCCGCATCTCATTTCTTGGCATTTATTTTCCTCAAATCATAATCTCTTTTTGGGGCCACAGCCCCCAACTCCGAATCAGAGTCCTCCTTGGTGGTTGAAGAAGAGTTTTCATGCTTTCTTTATCCTAGTCATCATCTTTGTCGTCTTCTCCAGACCTTCCCAGTTGCTGCTTCAAGAACTCATTTGCTTTCTTAACAGAGTAAATTCTTTCTTTTTTTCCCATTTATTCTGAAGAGTAGGCCTTCGGGAACCAATCATTTGTACTGTATGTTGTTTGTTTGTAAAAACAATGCCAAGTCTTTGAATTTCTTCCTCTTCTTTCTAATTTCAAATGGAATGTTTTTTAGTATCCGTATGGTATTACCGTTGATTTTCAGGGGTATTCCTGATGTTGTTTTCAAGATTTGGTCCCTCACATGTCTTTTTGAGAATCTAACCACTATTTCTCCAGGCAGATTATTTTTCTTAATATATTCCGTAATATGATCCATAGACCACATCCATTTTGCTTTGAAGATATTCCGTTTTCAAATCTGCCACTGGTGCAAGTAAATCACCCAATACTTGTTTTAGGTTCTCTCCTTTTGTCTCAGGAACCCCTTGGAATCTCAGGATAAAGCTTACTTTTTCCATTTCTAGTTGCAAAAGCTGAGATTTGTCAGTCATTCTTTTCTTTTCCAACTCCTGTACACGCTTTTTCACCTTTTTAGATTTGGCATTAACTTCCTTCAGTGTTTCTGCTGTTTGCTCTGTTAATTTCTTAGTTTCATTTAGTTCCAGTTGTTGTGCAGCAAAGTTCTGGTTCAAAGTAGTCAGTTGCTGATTGATGTTTGTCATCTGGTCCAGCAGAGGGCGCAATGATTCAGCTAATAGCTGTGAAAGCTCGTTGGTAGCTTCTGGTCTCGGGCTTCTACTTCCTGAAGGAGGCTTAAGCTGCGATGGTTTCTCTTTCTCACCTCTCCATCCCGCCATTTTTTAGGATTGTTTACTTTTAGAAAAGTTTGCCAAAGTCTCTGTTTTCCACCAAAACGCTTTGCTGCACTCTTGTGTGCTTCTTAAATCAGTTCTATAGCTTTTACGTCCGGCGCCCTCTTTTTAAAATGATCTGCTTAGATATCACGTCTGGGAGTTCCCTCCCCCACTCGCTTAAATCAGAGGGGCTTTCTAGTTAAAACTCGGTGTTTTGCTTTCACCACGACTCACAGTTCATCGTTGGTCCTAGGACCGCCTCAGGTACATGTAAAATGCCCAATCTTCACGCGCTTGTCCCAGTTAGCAGCTCTAGAGCCATGCTGTCGCACAGCGGTAGGACCTTCAGGGTGGAGGGAAGTCTCGATTCCCCGGCATCGATCCGGCGAAGAGGCAATCCCTCAAAAGCCCCATGGCTAGGAGTCCAAACACAAGGGCTCTGGGGGGTGGTAGCGGACAATCGCACCCCCTCCTATCCACTGGCGTTTGGATCACGACCCCGGGAGCTCACCAGGGTCGCGTCCGCCATTGTGCCGCCAAAAACCGGAAGTCAGTGTAGAGAGGAACTCCTGAGAGGACTGAAGTTGGTGCACAGATTCATATTGGAGGAGAGGTTTGTTTAAATATAGAGGGATCCTATTCTAGGAAACTAATGGGAAGGAAATTTATGACGTTAATGCAGACCCCTCATCAAATGTGTGGCTAATCAAGAATTGGAAACAGGAGGCGCTATCTCAGGCTGAACTTTCCCCTGTGATTGTACCAGCAGTGACAACACTGAAGTCAGTTCTGAAAAACCAAACCAAAGTAAATAAAGGATAGGCAGTATGAAAATCTGTGGTGATAACAGTGGAGGTCCTGCGTTGCTTTGCAAACAGACTGGCCAGGAAATTAAAGAGCAATTATTTAGTTTCAGTGACACACATATGAGGAAGTGGGATTGGTTTATATATATTTTAGGTCAGGTTATTACCCTACAAGGTATGTTACTGAAAAGCGAAAGAAGATTGAAACCATGCATAAACCTATAAGAAAAGACTGTGTCATTGTGACTCAGTATCACAAGTGAATTCAGGAATTAATTGTTCTTGCTGAACACAATAATAATAAAATCAGCTATGTTAGTACAAGTTGTCAGTCATGAGACAATAATGAACTAAAGCTCCATTAAACCATTGCATAAAATAATTCCGGCAGTAATTTACCCAAACCCCCCCCCCCAAAAAAAACCATTGTTTTGGTAGGTCCTGTTGTTTCTCCTTATATCTCTGCAATGAAAAAGGCCAGAAACTTTTTTCTAAAATGAAAGCCGAGAATACAGAGGAATAGTAGATCATGGTAACACAGGTCTTCACAAGTGCAGGACTCGCAAGGAATTGTGGGGGTAATCTATTCCCCCTTCCCCTGTATATCCTCCCCCACTATTTTTTCTTTTCCTTTCATGGTAGCCCCATAGCCTCTCCCCTTTTCTTGCTTCCTTCACTTCTTTCCACCTACCTTTAACTGTGTCTTCATCTTTCCTTCTCTCACTCCCCCTGGTAGCCTCTTGCTGAGAAGAATTGGGCCTTGTTGCACAATGGCTGTCCCACTGGCTCAGCCAAGTAGAGTAGGTAGTAAGCATTTGGTGGTTGCTGTCAGACCTGTTCCTGGCAAGTCCTCCTCCATTGGCAATGAGATAGGGGAGGGGGAGGGAACTCTTTCAAAGGCTATTTGGTCCAAGTACACTTCCCCTCCCTGCATGGCTTCACTTTACAGAAACCAAGGCTTGGAAGCCTTAGCAATATTGTTGTGGTTGTCTAGCAGCTTCCAAAATGGCTACTGAAGAAGAAGAGATTGGATTTATACACCGCCCTTCACTCAGAGTCTCAGAGTGGCTTACAAACTCCTTTCCCTTCCCCTCCCCACAACAGACACTCTGTGAGGTAGGTGGGGCTGAGAGAGCTCTGACACAAACTGCTCTTTTCAAGAACACCTCTGACAGAACTATGGCTTCCCCAAGGTCATCCACTGGACATTCTTTTCTTAAAGCTGTATTATTTGGGGGGAGTTAGTCTCCAATGTTGTTTGTGTTGTTGTTGTTGTTTTGTTTCAGATTGGCAAACTTGGGACTTCAGGTTTGCAGAGAAACGCCCCCCATCTGTCATTAGATCTGTTTTGCTGCTTTATTAATCCAGACTCTATGGCCCAGTCTAGAATTAGGTATATGATAATAGTACGATGCAATAACACTTGCCAATGTTTTTTAAAAGCATGAAAAACCCAACAAGTAGAGGGCAATGCAGTAGAAATAGCAGCTAAAGAGGAAAGAGCAGACAGATTTCTCATGTGGATTCTGTTGCTAGTGCAAAGCAAATACATCTTCATTTCTGGTGGCGATGCCAGGGGAACCGAGAAGCCTCCGTATCATAGGGCTGCCAACTCCAGGTTGGGAAATTCTTAAAGATTTTGGGGGGGGGGAGCCTGGAGCAATGCTCCCTCTAAGCTGTGGAGTCTTTTGAGCAAAAATTCTACTTTGTGAGCCACTGGCATTAAAGTTATGAGCGAGCGATTTGGCTCTTCCATAAATTAGTTTGCCCTGGAACCATTCTTTCTGAGCTAAGATAAAAATGTGTGGGCCGGAGGTCAAAAAACTGTGAGCTAGCTCACACTAACTCAGCTTAGAGGGAACTAGGGTTGCCAAGTCGACCATAGAGTTTTCCCTTGGATGGCCGTGGCCCCGCCCCCAGCGTGCCCGGTGTGGTCACGTCACTTCCAAGTGACGTGCACATTGGGGAGGAGTTCCCCCGGGGATCGGGCCTCTGGGGCGGGGGTTTCCCCACCCCCCGGGGGGACTTGGGAAACCTAGAGGGAACATTGACCTGGAGAGGAAGAAATTGGATTTATACCCTACACTTCACTACCCAAGGGAGTCTCAGAGTGGTTTACAATCCCTTTCCCCTCCCCTCCCCACAACAGACACCCTGTGAGGTAGGTGGGGCTGAGAGAGCTCTCTCAAGAACTGTCCTTGAGAGAACAGCTTTGAAAGAACTTGTGACTGACCCAAGGTCACTCCAGCAGCTGCATGTGAAGGCGTGGGAAATCAAACCCAGCCTCCAAAGCAGCCATTTTCTCCTGGGGAACTGATCTCTGTCATCTGAAAATGAGTTGCAATTCCAGGAGATGTCCAAGCCCCTCATGGTGGAAGCGGCCCAAGAAGACTTTTTAGAAATGTATTGCCTCACATCACTGGACGCTATGCTCTTGTACTTCTATAGCAATAATTCATAACTGGATTGGTTTTTTCCTATACAGAGGAATCTTGCAGCAAGTGTGGGATGATAACGCAAGATCCAAGAAGGGGAGAATATAGCCAGGGTTTCCAGCCTCTAATTTCAGACCTAGAGATTATTTGTACGTTGACTTTGACTGTTGCAGATTTTCCACTTTTAGATGACACCCTGTTGTACCCTCTTAGAAAATGAGCAGTCTCAGAATTTATTGCTGCCTATGATGACAGTGATAAAGTGGGCTCATGTTCAAGAAAGCTTATGCCCCCATAAATTCCTTAGATTTTCTCGGGGCTCTGAAATTTGTATATATGTGATCACCTCCACTAAACTGGCCTCAGAAACTAGAGAGTGTGGAGGAGATAGGGGCTCCTTTGAACCGATAGGCACTGAAGAACCTGTTTTTCGAAGTTCTGGGACCTGTGGAGTGATAAGGGAGACAGAGAATGTTTCTAGTGCCAGCCCTCTCAGTCTCTGTGCTTGTGCATGTGTAAAGGAGCCATCTGGACCTTTGGAAAACAAAGTGTACCTGCCCACTGACAGACTCCTCCTACATACTACCTTCTCTTCGCTTCACCTGCCTCTCTCACCTTTAACTGGAGCTTCGGCTGCTCCTGCTTTCAACCTGGCAGGTGTTTGCTTTCTTTCCAGCACTCGCCCCGGAACACCAAGGACTGAGGATACATAATTTTTTTTCTTTTCAAGCTTCAACATGCGGATTCACTTCTAGCAGCTGACACCTGGCCTTCTAGAGGGGGAAGCCAGGGCTATTGGAAACAGCCCAGCACTTCTATCCAGCGTACCTGTTTCGCGCCTACGATTTCCGCACAGGTGAGTTAGCAGCTCAGCACACAGGCAGCTCCCAAACCCAACTGGCTTTCCTTTTAACAGTTTGTTTTCCAAGAGGTTTTCTCTCCCCCCCCCTTCTAATGAAGTTGGATCCAACCAGGTTTTCAGCTGGTGAAAAAGGAAGAGGGGGTCCCCTTTATCCATATAATAAAAGTCTATGCTGGGGACCATGGGACCAGCATGGGCAAAAGCCATGTGGGGCTATAGCAAGAAGAGGAATTGGGTGAGATTGAGTGAAAAAGCAAGCTGGATCCTACCCATTGTCTGGGAATTTGGTTTTGGCTTTCTGATGCTGGGAGATCGAAAGAGAAAAGAGAATGACTGCGGGGTTCTATTCATCTCTGGTTCTAGCCTGTGGTGGTTGAGTTGTCTTTCTATCAGGAACTAGAAGTAAAATAGTACACAGTTCACAATACTGACTATTACGAAGACTCCGTGTGAATTCATTTAGTGCACTGGACCCCCATATCATGCCTCAGACCTGCTTGCATGAAAGATGTGAGCAAAATTTGTCCATGTTCAGATGATCCTGGGAACACAGTCTGGAGGGCTTATTCTAATCCATGAGTGCTTGTGGGAACAGAAACCGGAGGGCTTATTCTGTTGGCATTGTTGTGTTATGCATTACTCTGTTTTAGCTGCTTTATCTTGTTGCATGTATGATATTGTGTTATGGCATGGTCTTCTAATTCTGTAATTCTCCGTGAGCATCAAAAAGAAAGGCGGAGTACAAACGAAGTAGATCAAATCTAAAATAAATTAGCCAGCATAAACTGTAGCTGCGTAGTAGCTGGGGCTGAAATCCTAAGGAGAATTTCCTGGTGGTAAGTGTCGCTGGACCTGGATAGCCCAGGCTAGCCTGATCTTGTCAGTTCTTGGAAACTAAGCAGGGTCAGTCCTGGCTAGTACTTGGAAGGGAGACTTCCAAGGTTTACCAGGTTCATGACGCAAAGCCAGGCAATGGCCAACCACCCCTGAATGTCTCTTGCCTTGAAGACCCTTTGGGGTCAGCTCTGACTTGACAGTACTTTCCACCACTACCAAGGACCACTGAATCAAATGGGAACAGAACTGCTTGGGGTTGCTCCCTAAGAGGCTGAAGTCTCCAGGCTGAATTCTTGCTTCCGAAATAGACCTAGTAGGTGTCCTTAGGCCTGGGCCTCAACCTACAGTGTAAAGGTAGTCATACTGCCCTACATTACTGAGTTGTTGTAAGGATTACAAGATAATGTAAGTGCTTTCAACACTCGACCCACAAGGGTTCATTTGTCGCTATCGTGATCTTTCCAAAAGTGCTGCCTTATCTTTATAGTCTTAGCCTTGTAGGAAATTCTTCTGATGCTAGAGTTGGTTTAAAGTGAACTGCTAGGGCCAGTCTGAGTAAGGATGGGAAATAGTTTGTTTATTTTCAATGTTGACTGTGCTACAGATATTCCTTACTGTGTAATCCTAAACAGAATTGCGCCCCTTCTAAGCCCAGTGAAGTCAATGGGTTCATAAGGGTGTAACTCCACTTAGAATTGTACTGTAAAGCTGCATCTTTAAATTCTTCAGAAATGACTTCCGGGCAGGTCTGCCCACACGGGCCGGTCTGCCCACACGGGCCATCAGGCATTTTTAAAAGGGCATGCGTTACACAGTACACAATTTGAGAAGGGCACTTCTCCATCCTCTGTCCCATTGCCAAGGATTCTGGGAGAGACCTTCCTGGGTGCATGCAGCATCTTTGGCCAGCCCCGAGTAAGCCCTGTTGAACACAATGGGCCAGCCTCTAAGCAAATGTGCGTAGGACTGGGCTGTTAATGATTAACTTGTTCAATAAGTCCATGGTAGGGGGGAATGCTCCCTGGGTGGCTGGTATTCAAAGAGGTGGATTTCTGGAAACAGCTAAAGAATGTCCTGGCTTCTGAGCACTTAAAGAAATAGCTCATCTTTAAGAATGGCTATGATGAGCAAGAGTAATGCCATCTTGTTAGCCTTAAGTAGAGAGCAGCAGTTGTGCGTTCTGAGTACTCCCGCCCAGCTTTGTGAACCTTGGCACAGTTCTCTGGAATGCTCAAAGCAGACACATTCTGAGAAGATGCTAACCAAGAAAGGGAGGGTAGAGGAACAAAGGGCCTTCAGTATGTCCCAAATGAGATAAGAGGCTTATCTGCTTGCTTGCTTGCTGACATGCGGAAGTTAGCCATGGGAATAGAACAAAATGCAGCTTCAGCGTGTGTAAAGAAAAGTTGTTTGTATAGGGGTGTAAAAGCCCAACCCAGCCCCAGTCAAGTGGGAGCAGAACCGGTAAAGTTGATTTGCTTTTCTATGTCACCCTTATCCCTAGAATAATTTTTTCCTCCTATTCAGTTGAGTGCCTTGCCCTGTGTCTGTGTTCATCGGAACGGCACACGCCAGGTTAACGACCCCATTTTGGCCGCAGCTACTTAATGACAATGCTGTTGTGATTTCGTTTCCTGACTTCTTACGGGAATTAGTTTTCAGTTCCTTATAAAGAATACAGGTTTCCTGTTTTGTATCTTAGCCTCGCAATCTACTAAGCTATACAGGGACAATAAGAAGGTAAGATCAACACTCTTTGTTCTATACGCACCCTGCCCCCACCTGAACATTGTGCCCTTGATTTCTAGCTTTCAAACCTCTGCTTTAACGCACTACACTCAGCTTTCTTTACAGCAAATCCAGGAATTGGGTTTGTCTGTTGCCCCCCTCCCACAGAATCCTGGAACCTTGACTGTGATCTCCAGCAACTTCCTCTGTATGTAAACAAGCTGATCCATGAAACATCTCCAGGAGGTGGTTGGCTCCCATAAGGATGTAGACAGCTGGAGCTTTCTGTGGTTTCTGTGTGGGTGGTGGTGCAAGGTTCATAGAAGGATTGCCCTGGATTTTAAGGAGGGAAATATCTGGAGGCAATCCACTTCGGGATCTGATTGAAGAGGTCACAGTCTTTCCAGTACTCTGCATGTCACATCTGAATAGAAATCCCAAGATAGTTTTCATAAATTATATCTGGTGAATCCAATACAAATAATGCCAAGTCTTATGGAATGTTATGAACTAACAAATTTTTGTGGCCTACATGCTATAAAATCCAGGGATTTCGTTTCCCCGAGAAGAAATATCTGCAATTGTACTAAATTTAGGCAGCTACTCTAGAGGGACTCAAATGCTGGTGATTTCAAATCAAATACATTCTGGGCCTCTTCCCATATCCACTGTCAAGGAAAGCCACATTTGGATGGTTGATTCTGGATGTAAACACACTTGCTAGATGCTCCGTCGAATTCATCTTTAAAAGGGAATGCAGGCAGATGGGAAAGTGTGCTTTATGGGAGGGGAAGGGGCTTTCTAGAGTGCGTCTAAATACGCCTTTTAATCCTGCCCTTTGTCAACTGTTTTTTCTACTTCCAGGGCCTGCTATGTGGTACCCTCCAGGGCTTCTCTTGCTGTTCCAAGCTCTAACCCTCGGTCTCGCTGGCTCCCTCCCGGGGCAGCCTAAGGACCAGCAGGATGAAGGTAACTAGAAATCATTGCAAATGAGTGGTAGTTGTCAAATTCAGGATCAGTAAGCTATGGAGGACCCTGCTTTTAGTGTCCAGGGTCACCCCAAGTGTTTTTTGTGCCCTCAGCATATAACTTTGCCCAACCCCCGGCCCCATAGGAAAATCACCTCCACGCAGGATGCCTTCACTGGAGCCAGGACTGTAGATTGCCATGGGGCCAGTGGACTCAGTGGTGGGGGGGGGAAGGATCTGAGTGTCGCTAACTCCAGGTTTGGAAATTCCTAGAGATTGGGGGGGGGGGAGCCTGGAGAGGGTAAGACTCAGGGAGGGGAGGGACTGACCTTGGGCGGTATAATGTTTTTTGCCGTTTTATTGTATAATGTTTTTATTGCTTTATTCGGTTACTGTAACCTGCCCTGAGCCCGCTTGCGGGGGAGGACAGGATAGATATCCCATGAAATAAATAAATAATGCCATTGAGTTCACCCTCTGAAGCTGCCATTATCTCCAGGGCAATTAATCTTTGTAATCTGGAGAGCATTTGTAATTCCGGGAGATCTCCAGGCCCTCCCTGGAGGCTGGCGACCCTGCTCTGAGTCCTGCGGTGTAGCTGCACCCTGGGCTGTTGCTTGCTGCAGTGCCACACCTGCCTGCCACCTGGGTGCCTTGGCACGATGCCCTGAAATGATGCAGATCCTGCAATGCTGCGAGAAGGATGCATGGTGACCCCCCCCTTGCCATGAGAGAGACTGACGCCCTCGGCGATTGCTTAGGTCTGTCCAATGGATGGGTCAGCTCTGGCAATGCCAAAATCTCCTTGGCTGATCTGGGCAATTTGGAGATTGACTTAAGATGCCAACTGGTTATCCAGATACCCAGCTTTTTTTTTTTTTCTGAGTTGTCTGGGATGAACACAAGAAGCTGCCTTGAACTGAGTCAGATTTCTGGTTTATCGAGGTCACTACTGTCTATTCTTACTCACATTGGCTCTCCACAGTCTCAGGAGAGCCTGACCTGTTCCACACTGGTTATTTGCCCTGGGTTTGATGCTGTTGAGAATCAGGGCTTTTTTCCCCTGCTTCCCCACATCATCATCATAGAAACAGAGCTGGAAGGGACCTCAAGGGTCATCTAGTCCAACCTCCTGCACAATGCAGGACATTCAAAACTACCCCCTCTCCCCCTGTGACCCCTGCTTTATGCCCAGAGGAAGGCAAAAAACTTCCTGGATCCCTTAGCCAATCTGTTCTGGAGGAAGATTCGTTCTTGACTCCAAAGGGGCGATCTGCATTACCCTGGGCATCTAAGAGAGGGCCACAAGTGCCAAGCACTGGCTCATCCCTTCTTCCCCTCCCACTCATTTTCTTAAAAAAATAGTTTTATTATTTTTGAGGATACGCAGCATATACCCAGCTGCAACAGAACGTTTTAACATAATCGCCCTCCCTCTTGTGATCTGCCTAAATTCACAGAATCAGCATTGCTGTCAGATGGCCATCATGCCTTCTTGCACCTCATAGGCTTTCCCTGGCTCTTCTGTGATCTTTTCCAAATCTATTATGCTTTGAAGATCGGGCCTGGATGGTTGCTGTGAGGATGTAAAAGTGTGGATTTCCCCCAGTTCTGTCCACACGGCAGCTCTTTCCCCTGCTCCGGTCCATATTGTCCATCCCCTCCCAATGCCACCAGGGGTGCTTTTTTAAGAACATAACAGATGCCAATGTTGGATCAGGCCAAAGGCCCATCCAGTCCAACACTCTGTATCACACAGTGGCCAGAAATACCAGGTGCCATCAGGAGGTCCACCAGTGGGGCCAGGACATTAGAAGCCCTCCCACTGTTGACCCCCCCAAGCACCAAGATGACAGAGCATCACTTGCCCCAGAGTCCCTATCTATACCTTGTGGCTAATAGCCACTGATGGACCTCTGCTCCATTATCTAATTCCCTTTTGAAGCTGTCCTGGCGCAGCTTGTATCAATATACAACTATAATAATATATCACTATGTCAGTTGCTGGTAAACAAACAAACAAAAATATTGAAAAGGCCCCCTAGTGGTGCGGGTGGGGAATGGCCACCATTTGGAAGCCCCTTTGCTCAGCGCTGCAGTTGGCAGCCACAGCAACGATAGGGCTCCCATAGGAAAGGTGTCCCCCCCCCCCAACTGCCTCCTAACTGGAGATGCCAGGAATTGAACCTGGAATCTACACGCAAAGCAGATGTTCTACCACTGAGCCATGTTCTGCTTCTTTGATATTTCCGCCTAACGTCTTTGGGATTTGTGTGTGGGTGGGGAGAACTCTTGCAGTGCCATCCTAAGCAGTTCCATCCTAAGCACCCTGGACTTAGAAGGGCCAACTGACTTCAGGGGACTTAAGAAGAGTGTGTGCCGCTCTTACGATCACACTGTCAAGTTCTTCTTCACCTCCACAAGGAAAGCAGACTCCAACCAAAGCATCCCATTCTTTGCACAGTCCAGCTACAAATAACATGACATCCTCCCTGCATGCAATAAATTGGGGTACCCATATTATTCTTTGGATCAGCACGTGTTCCATTTGGGGATGCCGGCCTCCAGATGGGATCTGGGGATCCCCTGGAATCACAGCTCGTCTCCAGACTACAGAGATCAGTTCCCCTGAGGTGGACTCTATGGCATTGTACCCTCCTAAGGTCCCTGTCCTCCCCCGGCTCCATCCCGAAATCTCTAGGAATTTTGCAACACGGATCTGGCAACCCTGCCCCCCCCCATCCCCCACTGGTGATCAGCTCACAACCTCCAAAGACTCTGGAAATCAGGAGCGGGGTGCTGCCAAAGAAATTTCTCACAACGGGGCAGAGGAAACGGTTTATTTATTTATTAATATTTTAGATTTCTGGATCGCCCAATCCCTGTATGCACAAGTTGTATATGAGAGTGGGACAAGTTCTCATAGGGAAGCCCCTTTTCGGCCTCAGCTATAAAACCCGAAGAGGGATTTCTCCAGCTGCGTCTCCCACGAACTGCGATCACAACGAGCAGCTCAAACTGCCCTCCATAGCCCCTTTCATGTTTAATCGGCTTGCTCATCACAAGTAATAGCTAATTGAGACACCCGACACTTGCTGATCCGCATTCCACATGTCATAATTAATGAGCTATATGGCGGGGGTGAAGGGAAGCATTTTATTGCCTAGGAACAAAATACTCAGCTTCTAAGTACCAAAAACAATGCATAGGAGTACTACCTTAAAGGGAAGACTATGCACTGTAAATCGGCAAAAGCCTTATATTTGCGGGGCTATCGTTTTTGAAAGGTAGAACAAGCAGTAAGAGGCAGAGGAAGGAGCTTTAGCTCAGTTCTCTGTCCCCTCTGAACCAAACAGATGCCGCTGCTTTACCCCCCCTTAGGCCGGGCAGGGGTTGGCAGGGTGGGTCATTTTTTGAGGCCCTGGCCCAGTGGAGGGGCCACCTCCAAGTGGAGATGCTTGGTCCTTCTGCTACCATCTGGAATGGGGGATAAGTCCAGATACTAGTTCAGTATGTTTTAATCTGGTCCACGGGGGTAGCAGGCTTAGTGGGAGGGTTACTGAAGGTCATCCTTTGAGTTGCCAGCTCCAGGTTGGGAAATACTTGGAGACCAAAGAAGGCAGGGCTTGAGGAGGGGAGGGGCTTCAGTGGCATATAATGCCATAGAGTCCACCTTCCAAAGTCGCCATTTTCTCCAGGTGAACTGATCTCTGTGGCCTGGAGATCAGTTGTAATAGCGGGAGATTTCCAGCCACCACCTGGAGGTTGAGAAAACCAAAGAAGGGAAATACATCAACACTGTGATGAAATTGACAATAACATTTAATTCTTATGAACATCAATAAAAACGTTTTGCAATATAGCTCAGGAAATTCTAACATTCAAGAAAAAGTCCAACATCCTCTATGAGCACCCGGTTTTATACTCATTTCAACAATCTTCCTCAAGACGCAGGGCTCTTTTTGTAGCAGGATCTCCTTTGCATATTAGGCGACACACCCCTAATGTAGCCAATCCGCCAAGAGCTTACATAGCTCTTCTTACAGGGGCTACTGTAAGCTCTTGGAGGACTGGCTACATTAGTGATGTGTCACCTAATATGCACAGGAGTTCCTGCTACAAAAAGAGCCCTGCCAAGAGTAGTCCTGTTATGTTAGAAGCTGTCAGCCCCTTGATACAGTTTAACTACTTCTTTTTGCTTCCTTCACATAGTAGCAGCATTAACTTCTTTTTTACTTTCTTCAAATTATTGCAGCTTAACTTCTTTTTCAAATTATCGTCCAGTTCCATTTCAAGTAATTGTACTAGGAGCAAGCCAGTTAATTAATTTCTTAATAGTAGCAACCAGTCCTCTTTTTTTTATCTGGCTGGAAGCCTTCTTATCAGAATAGTTTTTTGTGAGTTTCAGTTCCAACCTGAGAGGTGGAGGGCAGTTTTCAGCTTATTTAGCCAGATAGAAAAGAAGACTGAAATGTTACTCCTATAATCTACTGGAGAGCAACTGAGCCAGCAACGTGAGATAGAGAGCATTTGCCAGCCAATTTGAAATGAGTGGTTCTTCCTTTCATTCTTGGGGAGCCCATGCCTCAGCATGCAAGCAAAGGTTGCCAACCTCCAGGTGGTGGCTGGAGATCCCCCACTGTTGCAATTGATCTCCTTGCGACAGAGATTAGTTCACCTGGAGCAAATGGCCACTGTGGAAGGTGCACTCTATGGCATTATTTCCCATTGAAGTCCCTCCTGTACCCAAACCCAGCCAGTTTGGTGTAGTGGTTAAGTGCGCGGACTCTAATCTGGGAGAACCGGGTTTGATTCCCCACTCCTCCACTTGCACCTGCTGATGTGACCTTGGGTCAGTCACAAGCTCTGGCACAGCTGTCCTTGAAAAAGAGCAGTTTGTGTCAGAGTTCTCTCAGCCCCACCCACCTCACAGGGTGTCTGTTGTGGGGAGGGGGAAGGGAAAGGAGTTTGTAAGCCGCTCTGAGACTCCAAGTGAAGGGCGGGGTATAAATCCAATCTCCTCTCCTCCTCCCCAGGCTCCACCCTCAAAATCTCCAGCTATTTCCCAACCCGGAGCTGGCGACCCTAGACTGCAGTCCCAAAGCACTTCTCAGTGACCTGAGTGGAGGAGCTACCTGTCAGTCCCTGGTACAATCATCGTAGCTGCCTTGTAGGCACATATGTGTCCCTCACACCCATTTACCAAACTAGTTCTCAGCTCTGCATTGTAACCCCCTCTAGCCTCCACTTTTATTTCTCGGCGTCTTGGCCCTAAAATTCCTTGTCTGCCATGAAGCCCGGGATAACGACTGTTTCTCTCCTTAGTGTTCCTGGATGAGCCTGCTGCACACAGATTCCTGGGCCGCAAGCTCCTTTATAACCACTGGGATTTCGAGCTGCTTTCCCCAGATAGTCTGGAACGCGAATGCATAGAGGAAGTTTGCAACTACGAGGAGGCCCGTGAAGTCTTTGAGGACGACTTCAAAACAGCTGAGTATGGGGAGCAGAGCTGGCCTTGGGTTTCGGAGTGTTGTGGGATATACTGTCGCGATTCTTAAAACCGGGGTTCCTGGTAGTTCTTGATGCTCTTTGGGGTTGTTTCCAAACGCACAGTTATTACAGCCTTTTCCAGAGCCAGCTGTAGCAAACGGCACTTTTAAATTCAGCTCCTTCTGCACTCCTGTGCAGCTGTCCAGTATCTGTAGAGCTGAAGGGGAATGTTTGGTCTTGGGTAATAATGTATTTGTGGATGACTCTTGTGATGGCATGGGAGTAAATGCAAATGTTGTGATGCTTCCTGTGTACAGAGGACCAGTCAAGCAACTTCCCCTAAGGCATGAAGAATAGTCATGATGAATCAGACCAACAGTCCATTTGATCCAGTTTGGTGTAGTGGTTAAGTGCGCGCATTCTAATCTGGGAGAACCGGGTTTGATTCCCCACTCCTCCACTTGCACCTGCTGGATAACCTCGGGCAAGCCATAGTTCTGACACAGCTGTTCTTAAAAAAGAGCAGTTTCTGTCAGAGCTCTCTCAGCCCCACCTACCTCACAGGGTGTCTGTTGTGGGGAGGGGAAAGGAAAGGAGTTTGTAAGCCGCTCTGAGACTGCCTTGGGTAGTGAAGGGCGGGGTATAAATCCAATCTCTTCTTCTTCTCTTCTTTCTGGGCTGGATCCTGTAGAGGCTTTCTGTGGACAGATGAAAGGACAATTTTCACGGATTTGTTCCTCCCGTTTGACTTATGCTGTTCCGGGGGGATCCTGTGTCTCCCAAGAGTGGCTCAGAGGGCATTTTGGGTTGCAATCGGGGGGATCCTGTGTCTCCCAAGAGTGGCATTTCAGAGGGCATTTTGGGTTGCAACGAAAGAGGATGCAACAAGAAAGGGGCCTTCCACTGATGGAAATTCCTTCCATCTGCAGCGATGCTCCGTGGGATCCAACCCCTTGTTTCCAACAGCAGCCAGCCAGATGCCCCAAGGACGCCCACAGGCAAGGTGTGCCCACAATGGCCTTTGCCATCAGACTGCCCCCAGCATTTGACAATGGGAACCATTCTGTCTCTGAGCTCAGAGGTCTCATTGGCAGCTGTCATGACAACTGCTTATGACAGACCTACCCCTCCCCAAATCTGTCCAACCCAATTTTAAATCCACTGGCCATTGCTGTATCTTGTGGCAATAGAAGAGAGAAGAAGAGAGAAGAGATTGGATTTATACCCCGCCCTTCACTACCCAAAGGTGTCTCAGAGCGGCTTACAAACTCCTTTCCCTTCCCCTCCCCACAACAGACACCCTGTGAGGTGGGTGGGCCTGAGAGAGCTCTTGACAGAAACTGCTCTTTTTCAAGAACAGCTCTTATCAGAGCTACGGCTTGCCCAAGGTCATCCAGCCAGATGCAAGTGGAGGAGCGGGGAATCAAACCCAGTTCTCCCAGATTGGAGTCCGTGCACCTAACCACTACACCAAACTGGCTCAGTCAATGAATCCTACAAATCAACTACTTGTTCTGTTAAATCAGTACTTCTTTTTGTCTGCCAGGTATCTACCACCAATCAGTTTTCACAGGGTGGTGCTGAGTTCTAGTATTCCAGGAAAGGAGAAAAAGCATCTCTGTCTTCACTTTCTCCACAACGTGCATCATTTGTTAGATCCGTCGTGTCACCCTTTTTTCTTAACAAAGGCTACTTCCTTATGGAGCTCTTGCCTCCTAAACTGCAGCTATCTCTTTTGGGACTACCACGCAAGACTGTCGCACAGTCGCCCCTTACTCATTCAGGTTTCCCCCAACTTTGAGAGCCAATTTGGTGTAGTGGTTAAGAGTTGCTGTCTCTAATCTGGAGAACTGGGTTTGATTCCCCACTCCTCCACATGCAGCCAACTGGGTGACCTTGGGTCAGTCACAGTTCTCTCAGAGCTGTTCTCTCAAAAGCAGTCCTCAAAAGAGCTCTCTCAGCCCCACCTACCTCACAGGGTGTCTGTTGGGAGAGGAAGGAGATTGTAAGCCGCTCTGAGACTCCGAGTGAAGGGCGGGGTATAATGCCAATCTCCTCCTCCTAACCTACTTTAGTATGATCCTTTTGGAATGATCTATGCAAAGTGGGTTTGGGGAAAGTATGAATGGGAGGGTGTGGATCTCTGCACCTCCTTGCCCACATCTGGCGCCATTTCTTCTCACGGCTGCTATTCCCCTGCTCCCTTTTCCAGAGCTGCTCACATAAGAAAATACTTTTGGTTGCAGCCAACCATTCTTATAGTTAGCTACTGTTTACATAAGATGATATTACCTACTATACACTTGAATAAGGCTTATTCTCAGGGAAGAGAACACAGTTTACAGACATAGTTTACAAGTTCTGAAATGTTTACAAGTTTTTCTTATGATTTCTTTGAATAACAAGTTTTGAATGTATTGCATGTTTATGATATACATAATTGATATGTGTAGTGATAGTGAAGTCACATGATTGGGTTCATGCTTGCCTGCACTGAATACTTGAAAGTTGCAATGGCAATTTGGCTTTTTCATAGGATAGGGGTTTTTATTTTATTTTTGAAAGTCCATCCCCAATGATAGTATAGATAGTTGGCATCTGGGTCTTTGTTCACTCTAGTAGGACACAACAGTGATAAACTTTTTATTGGTTTTATCATTGTCAAATGTTGTTTGGAAAAAGAGCAAATGAAATTCTTTGGGCCTACCTGCCCATGATATTTTCCACATGTCCTCCCTCGGTCGGTCCTGAGGAGTTTCACTGAGAGATCAGCTGCGAGTTCCCTGCTGGGGGAATCAATTCATATTTGGATTGGGACCAGTGCTCCCTCTAAGCTGTGGAGTCTTGTGAGTAAAAATTCTACTTTGTGAGCTACTGGCATTCAAGCGGTGAGCGAACGGTTTGGCTACTGCATAAATTAGTTTGCTCTGGAGCCATCCTTCCTGAGCTAAGACAAAAATGTGTGAGCCAGAGGCTAAAAAAGTGTGAGCTAGCTCATACTAACTCAGCCTAGAGGGAACACTGATTGGGACCGTGGCACGTGGGAAGCAGGGGCTTAAGCCTCCCCCCTCCCCCACACCATCTTCCCAAGCAGCCCCAGGGGCACTATTTGAGCTGTTGGGAGCTGAACACTTACCAATGGGTCACATGTGGATTTCCCCAGCAGGCCGAACAGTAGCATCTAGGACCATTTCAGATCAGGAAAATGTTGGGTGTGTGTGTGTGTGTGTGCTGAAGCCCCTTTCCCCCATGCGTCATGGCCCTGATCCAAATCAGGGTTCCTGCACACTTGGGAATGGAGTTCTCAGTGGGAAACTCACCGGACTGAAAGTCAGAGCAGGGAACTCAACCATAACCTGTGGGGGAAATGTACAGTGTTGTTAGGCCTGCAGTGCATGCCTGGTACTTTATTAGGTATCTTTTTGGCAAGGTTGGAATCCTGGTACGTCGAGGGGAGACAAAATTCCAGGCGTATCTGAGAAAGCGCATGACACCGCTGATTCAAAGCTGTTGCCTAAGTAGAATTCTCCATGCCAGGACAAGTCTGGGAACTTGAGAGCAGGTAGATTCCTAGCATAGTTGGAGAGCCACGTGCAAGGCCTCCAGCGTCTGAGTACACAGCTGCGTCTGGACGTCTGGGGAGGCGGGGAGCGAAACCAGCAGCACCCTGAAATGGCTGGGCGAGAGTGGCTAGTGGCTAGAGCTAGGTCAGGGCACATTTGTGCTCCAGTTTTCTGGACCAAAGAGGTCGAACTGAAGCAGTTGTGCACAGGGACCTGTTGGTCCCTTCTTATTAAACTTTCAACCCAGGCTGACTTTCTCAGTGAATTCTGGCATGTTTTCTGTTGCTTGGCGTTTGTGTTGTTTGCTTGCCCTCTCCCAACAATATTTCCAACATAACGGAATGTAGAGAAACAAAACGACATTTCCCTGCAGAAGGTACCCAGTATAATCTGGGTACCTTCTGCAAACTTTAGGCCCAGTGCTTCATCTCTTCAGCCCCTCCCCCCAGTACACCCTCTTTCATCTCCAGTGATTTCCATCCTCCCCAACTGAGAGTCCCCCTCCCTGCCCCTTATCTACCTGGAGGTGTGAAAACACACCTTTGCTATGGCAACAGCATCAGCAAGCCTGCAAGAACGGTTGAGATCAGGTCTGTTCTTGCTCTGCTTCCTGCTCCTGCTGCTCCCACCCACCCCCGTCCCTGCTTTCCTCTGTCGTGCATGTATGAAAGTGCAGCCCTGACCCCCGCCCCCTTTCTCTTTCCCAGACCGGCTGTTCTGTAAGGATACCTAGTCCCTTGGGGGGGGGGGATTGAGTTCTATGAACATTCCACTATGCCAGGACCACAGATCGCCACAACCTGGCTCAGCTAATTTTTAAAAAGGGTTTCCTGGGCTGCGGGGTGTGTGTGTGTGTGTGTGTCAAAGATTGCAATCCTCTGCATGCTTACTTGAGAGTAAGCTCCACCGAATGCATTGTCTAGGAGTGCACTGAAAATCTGGACCTGTGTTAAAAACATGCACATGATCAGATCCAAAATTCACTCCTCCCCCATCAAAAGACAACAACGAACCCACTTGTGCTGCCCCAGGCAGAGAAAACGCTTCGGTGGGCAAAGAGCACCCTTTTCCGTTTTGCTAAGACTGGCGTTGCAACACACATAGCCTTTTGTTTTGTTTTGGTTTTGCTGTCAAGTCACAGCTGACTTACGATGACCTTGTAGGGGTTTCAAGGCAAGAGATGTTCAGAGGAGGTTTGCCGTTGCCAGCCTCTGCATCACAACCCTGGGATTCCTTGGAGGTCTCCCATCCAGGGGTCGTTTCATAGAAAAAGAGCTAGGGGAACTCATTAGCATAACTCATTAGCATATGCCACACACCCTGACATCACCGGAAGTGTGTCATAAGGCCACACCCCCTGACATCACCAGAAGTGTGTCATAAGGCCACACACCCCGCCCCCAACGGTCCCGGCCGCCACCGCCGGCCTTGCAGCT